GGCTGTAATATACAAATCATGTTCCAAAGGTGAAGCAAAGAAAGCCTCATTCTCGGACACAGGAAGCGGACAGATTACTCTGGGGAAGGGCCAGTACTGTTTTGCATTTTTAGCGCGCTGCACCCGGACCTTGTGCCTAAGCTAGAGGAAGGCAGGTAACTTGGGCTGCCCCAAGTTGATCCGCACTCAAACGCAGGGGATAGAGCAGATATATTCGTGGGACGGGTGGATCTGTGAGGCCCACGCCACCAGCTGTGACCTGACGACTACGCCGGCTTCAGATGGTCTCACACTCGGTGGTGGCAGTGGAACACGCCCCGCAATCACATCGGACAGCCACCGGGTAGGTGTAGAAGGGGTCGACCCCTGGGGCACAGTGAGGCAGCTTCACCGTCACCTGTTTGGTCTCGTTGTAGGTGCACACTCGATGATAGGCTTCGATGTATGGAGGCTCCAGGACGGGTTTCTGCGCCCACGGGGAAGAAAACAGGAAAACCATCAGGATTCAGCATCCGCTTCCTGCTTCCTGTCCTTGGTGCCCGTTCATCACTAGCTGTTTACATATGTTCTGACTCCTCCCACTGTGAATAAACCCCTGAAAGCAGGAAGCTGTCCTGCTCACTACCATATCCTGAGCTTCCATGGAAGTCCAGGAAGCGCAGGATGCATTTGCTAAATATTTATCAGACGAATAACTGGTCTTCCTTCTCCCAGCCTTACCCTCTACAGTCTGCTTACACCATGAGTGAGCCTTTTAGAGAATGAGTCAGTCACGACCCACCGCTGCTCAAAGTCCCAGGAATTTCCCGTCTCACTCAGGGTAAAACATCAGAATATTTTAGGACTCAGGATGACATTAAGATTCTTCTCAAGCCCCTACGTTTTCTCCCGTACTCCTTATTTCTGATATGTCGGCTATGGCCCTGGCCTTGCCAACACAGTCCCCACTCTCTAGTCACAGCAGTCTCTATCCTTATTCAGAACAGGAACTAAGGGGCTTTGCATCTCTGTTCCTTCCGCCAGAACACGAAGACATTCTCTCTCTCTCTTTCTCTCTCTCTCTCTCTCTCTCTCTCTGGAACACACACTACACACATGCACACACACACACACCAAACACATATACAAGCTCACACCCATATACATACATACATACATACATGAACATACACACATATACATACACACTCACACACTCATGTCTCTGATCCAGAGATGCATTTTCTGATCCCATGTTAGATCACGTTTACCCCACCTCCATGCCTTGGAGCCCCCTTCCCCACTTCCTGTTTGGTTTGGATTTAGGGCTTGTTTGGTTGTGTTTGTCCATTCCACATGCCATCTTCCACATCTTACTTTTGTGTGACATTGCTCCTCATCTAGAGAGCAATCTCCTTTGGGTCAGCCACTATTCTCAGTACCCAGCCAGCCTAGTACCCCGGACTTTGTTACTAAAACAAAATACAGCAGAGCCAGGCAGCTTCTTGGATATTCTCTTCCGGTGACTGGAGGTTACCTCCCTTCCTCCCTTCGCCTTTTCTGAATCTTGAATTCAAAGATAATTCTGTTAGAGAAACTACAGAGATCAGTGGTGAGACACTCAGAGCCTACAACCAGCCCTACTTTGCACGCCTGCTTTACCACTGCTGGAGACCTAGGGAAAGCTCTTAATGCTGCCAAGACCTGGTGTTCTCATCCACAAAGCAGAACACCAACCTAACAGCATTGTCATGGAGCTAGATGACATGATGTGTGCAGTGCACAAGCCCTGGTCAAAGGTCAGAGTTCAATCCATGTAACCAATGGCTCTTACGAATGCAATTGTAAGGCTATAACAATGAATTAATAACAACAATCTTTCAGAGAACAGTCCCTTTGTTCTGAGCAAAAAAAAAAAAAAAGTTAGGTATGGAAATTAGATAGATAATGCATGCATCTATACATATGTGCATGCATAGGTAAATACATACACAGGTGCATGTACATATAAGGTACATAGAAACAGAATAAATATATGATACATACATATATACATGCATGAGCATGTATTCATAGGCATGTGTGTGTGTGTGTGTGTGTGTGCGTGCGTGTGTGTGTGTGTGTGTGTAGCTTAGGTGACAGGACAGCTCAAGATGAAATCCTTGCCTCAAGGTTATAAAAATAGCGACCTTTCCTTCAACAAGGACCAGGTAGAGGAGCTCAGTTCCTCACTCTGTTCTGTGTCCTCTTATTCTCGGTATTCTGGGGTTCTAGGAAAACTGGGGACTCACTTAACTTTGTATTTCAATTTTTTTTAAATTTTATAAATCTGTCCCATGTAATATTTGGGGCAGACTTATGCCCCCCCAAAAAATTGTTACTGATCTGAGTTCCTAACTATTTTTTTTTAATTTGACTTCACTTCAAATTGTGGGGTCTGAGGTAGAAGAGTGTTGGTGGGTGATTGCCTGGTTGGTTGGGGGTGGGGAGGGCTTTGGTTTGATTTTGATTTTGCTAAATCTGGCATTTTTGAAGCCTGGGTCATGAGAGGTCACTACTTTCCACAAGAGTTGAACTATCAACGGTCAGTGCAGCCTGTCATCATGAACACTCCTCACTGAGGACAGCCTTGAGGTTTGTATACCCATTCTAAGTGAAAGGTCAGGCAAAACTGAGTGTGAAAGGATAGACCGGATCGGTCACTGAATTGGGGGGAAAGAGCTGTGGCAGAGCCTGAGGCTAGGCCTCACTCAGCATGCAGCTTCCGGGTCCTTCTGAGTGACTGCCTGACTTCCTCACAGCTGAGAAAATACGGGAAAGAGATGTGGTCATAGGTTTGGACCAGGAGTCTCTTCCCGGCTTTGCACCGACTCCCTCTGACTTTGCAGTAGCTTCCCTTGGCTCCTTCGTTGGGATCTTCACAACAGGTAAATTACTATTTACCTGACCCCTTAGAGATAGCCCCCCAACATGCAGAGCATGGAGAGAAATTACATTACTAACCTCACTAGCACTCAGAGGGTGTCATCATGGTTTTCATGGAAGAAGACAAGTTGTGCAAATGGAAAATGGAACACATGAAATGGAGGAGCCGGCCCCAGGACACTGCCATGGAAGCCTGCCGTGCTACTCACCTCCCAGGTCTCACAGCGGCCCCAGCAGGCATCGGTGGTGATCCGCAGTCCCCTACAGCCCGGCTTCTTGGCCAAGAAAGTGAACTCCCTTGCAGCACAGCCCACGAAAGTTCGCAGGTTCCCACTGGAGGTGCTGAGGACAGGGTCATAGCCAGCCAGAAGGAGGAGGGCCGTGGCAGCAAGGATAAGGTGTGACAGCTTCATGCTGTTCCCAGGAGAGAAACAAAGCAAAGTTGAACATACCTGATGGCTCACAGAGTTACAGCCTACAGTGTGTCGGTCACTCAAAGGGACCTTGCTTTCAGCATTACAGGAGAAAACAAACAAACAAACAAAAAAAGGAGCCAAGAAATTGTCCAACTCTGAAGAGTATCTCCCTAACTAGCTTCAGCAGATAGTCAGTAGCTCTCTCTAGACACCCGACCCTCGGAGCAGTCTCAGGCTTTTCCTTGGTGAATTCCAACCTCTGGAGCTGACTTGTGTGTAAAAGGAATGCATGCCAGTAAAAAATAAGAGTAATAGCAAGAGAAATGTAGAGCCTAAAATAATACACGAATACATATACCGTCTTTCCCTCTTTTTACCCAGGGCCAGAGTATGCATGTCATGCTGGGAACTTTGCACACATTGGCATTTTGACGGTCACGGATGGGAATGAATGGGGGAAGGTAGATAAGTGCTAATAATGGCGTCTCCTGGGTGTGTTGTCACTACCCCAACCTACCACACAGGAGACACTATAAAACCTGCTGCCTGGTGTGGCAGTCCCTCGTAAAATGTGCTCTACCCACCGCAGATGACCCCTATGCTCTGCTGTGCGCAGTTTCGAGCTGTGACTCATTTAAAAGCAAATGATGGAAAGCTAGTCGCAACCTACAATGGCATCCGTCCTCTCTGTTCCTGGTCCCTCCTGGTACTCTAGGAACACACAATGGGCCCTTCGTGGTTGTCCACTGAACAGAACACACATGGACGTCGCATGTGGGGAGCGCCCCCAGGTCGGTGTCCCCCGAGAGGAGCTACATTCCCAAAGCTGCTCTCACAGTTCTTGCAGGTAAGGCATGTTGTCACGTGAACTCCGTGGGCTTCCCCAAAGAGAGGAAGTGAGAGGCTGAGAGGCACTTACCTGATCTTGCTGGAGTCAACTCTTCTTGTAGAGCACCCCCCAGGCTCTCGAAAGTTGCAGTGAGCAAGGAAAGCTTGCCCTGGGTAAGTGTCTCTCCCTTCTGTTATCAGGCTGCCTGCTTACCCAAATATAGAGGGAAGGTCTCGTCAATCAAAACAAACGAGAGGCAGATTCTTACAGGAACTACTAAGCACATCAAAGCCGGGGAATATAAAGCCAGTCTCTATTTTCCACAACTGATTCACTTCAAGGGTGGTGTTTTGTTTCTTGACATCACCGAATGAAACAGAAAGTTGCCTCGGTGGGTGACATAATCCTGAGGAGACAGTCAGAGGTAGTTCACCTGGTTCCGAGAGAGCAAGTGCACTAGGACAAGACAGATCAAAGTTTCCCTCATAGCAACCATGGCTTGCCTTGGAGACAGTAAGCCATTAGCAACTTCTGGCAAGCCCTTTCCTTGCACTTACAACATTGGAGAACAGCAAGACAATGATTCTTCCTTGGAAACAACATGGCATCATTTACTGACAGATGAAAAGAAAATGTGAAAGTCTTAAAAATCATTTAACTAGTATCATCAACAAGATCTTTAAATGAATCACACAGGCAAATGCAGAGATATCAGAAATGGTTGGCATTATACATGGGAATTAAAGATGACTTTTTTTTCTGATGTGCTTTTTGGGATTTTGTTTTAATAGGTCAGGTCTTTGTTTTAGGAAGTCATCTAGTATTATGATTTTGAAATTAAAATAAACCACTATGTATCTACGAGTACTGCATAGGAGGCCATTCAATGATGCGTTAGTGAAAATGTTTTATACGTCTGGTCTTACGGAATGTAAAGCAGTGCAGTCCTTCTTATGTGTAGGGGGCATAGTTTATATTCCATTCTACAATGACAGCATGTAAACAGATTAGGAAGCTACTTATTCATGGCCCTTTTCCTTGGTGTTCTAAAAAGCAAATGAAGCAGACATCTGTGCCCTCGGGAGCTTACATTTCACAGCAAATCATGACAAACCCAGAGATGTTCTAGATGCATTTTAAATGACCAGTGACACAAAATAAAGAAATTAAAGCATCTCCATTTTCTGCACAGAAAAAAATTTTAAATAAATACAGCACTTGTTAAAAGCTTGTTCTTCCAGAACACACAACAACAATCATCCATCCCTGGAATCAGGTGATTTCATAGATGGTGGAATCTGGGTTGGACAGAGGACTTTTCTTCAGCCCATCAGTCTTCTCACAGGACAGCCAGATCCAGGACACTCTGGGGACAGGTTGCTCTCCTGACTTTGATCTTTCTAAGTTGCTGGGCCAAGAAACAGACAGCAAATAGAAACTGCTGTCCTGAGCAATATATTCCTTCACAGACCCTTTAGATTTGGCACATCCATACTGGCCTGTAATCTCACAAAAAAGAGACAGGAAAGGGAGGCCAAGAGCCCTCTGCTCCCATGGTCCCCAATTGCTTGGTAATGCAGTGTGCTCCAACACCAGAGCCTTCTACGCCCATCGCTGATGGCCCAGGGATGACCTTTGTAGTTACCAGGTGTGTTCCTCCAAGGCAGCTAGAATCTGCGGGATGCTGGCACGCATCTGCCTCACCTCTTCAGCTCTGCCATAGAGGGTTCTCATTTTCTCCTTCTATATCGAAAGAAATGGAGGCTCGCCCACTTTTTAGACCACCTATTTCTATGGCCTTTAACAAGACAAGGATGGCAAATGGGTTTCTCCAAACCCTCTACACAACCGTAGCCAACAGAAGCGGCTGTCTGGAGTGCCGTGTTAAGGCGACTGCAAGCAGCCCAAGTAGAGTGGGCAAAGAAGAGGGACAGCGGTTGAGTGTCACGTTTTGCCATGCTAATACTCTGCTGTGCCACCTGTCTCAGCACAGAGTCAGAGGTCAGGACTGTGACTACAAAGGTAACTTTGAACTCTGAGTCTTTCTAGAATATCTGCGCATCCACCATCTTCCCTTCCACCCACACTGAGGTTCCCACCACTGAAGTTACTTCCTGGGGCGGCACCCAGAGAGGTGGGTGAGCACAGGCCCCTGGCATCTTCCTTCACTTGCTTCCATGTTCATCTTGATGAACATTCACTGCCGCCTTGGGGTATGATTTACAGTGCTCGAGTTCTTCAGAGGCTAGGCAATGGGAGAAGAGGGGGCTGTGAGTTGGATGTTTTTTAAATGTTTACACCCCCAGGGTTCACATGGTGAAATTTTATCCCCTTGGTGAGGTCAATAGGGGGGCAGAAACATACTCCAACTATGGTGGTTAGAGCTCGGGCCTTCAGAAGCCTCCAGAGCAGTCCTGAACCAAATGAAAAATACTGAAGGTATCACAAAGGTGGGTTTCAAAAATAGTCTAGAGCACTGGTTCTCCACCCGTGGTCACGACCCCTTTGCCAAACCTATCTCCAAAAACATTTACATTATGATTCGTAACAGTAGCAAAATTATAGTTGTGAAGTAGCAATGAAAATAATTTACGGTTGGAAGCTATCACACACAAGAAACTGTGTCAAAGGGTCACAGTATTAGGAAGATTGAGAACCACTGTCCTAGAGAGTCATAGTTTAAAAAATAATTAGTCCAGTATAGGCATAAAAGGAAACATATAGACCAATGGAATAGAGAACATAGAAATAAACTCACCCATCTTCAGCCAGGTGCCAATCAAAATGCCAAAAACCTGAGGTGGAGAAAAGATGTGGCACTAACAAGGAGGAGAGGGAAAGTCTGATACTCACATGTGAGCCACTGGAGGCCTGTGCAAAAATCAGTGCAAAGTGGATTAAAGTGTTAGTGTAAGGCCAGAAACTCTCAAGCTTCAAAAACACAGAGAAACATATCAAGACATTGGCATAAGTGATGATTTTCCAAGAGGACTCAGCTCAAGAAATAAAAGCAAGAACAGCAAAAGAAATTGCAAAAATTAAAAAGCCCCCTTTTTCTTCATGATTGGCAGAAATGATTGGCAGAACAAATGGACATCCTACAGGGTAGAAGAAAATCTTAGCCAGGATCCACCTTACAGAGGACTAGCATCCAGAATATGTAAAGAACTCAAAAAGAAAAAAAGAACAAATAATCTAATTAATAAATGGGCGGATGATCTGAACAGACACTTCAGAAAAGAAGCACAGATGGCTGATAAAAAAATAAAAACAATCGTCAGTATCTTTAGTCACTGGGCAAATAGGAATCAGAACTACGCTGTGACTGTGTCTTCCCACAGTCAGCATGACCATCACCAGGAAAACAAAACGAAAATAAAAACGACAAATGTTAATGAGCCTGTGGGAGAAAATGGACACTTACATGGCATTGAGAATATAAATTAGTCCAGCTACTATGGCTACCGGGAAGAAGATACCTTAAAAGGCTAAAAGATAGAACTACCGTATGATCCATACCATACCACTGTTGGGTATACACTCAAAGGAATCCAAGTCCTCATACAACAAAGATGTCTGCATACTCATAATTATCATGGCACTATTTACAACAGCCAAGATAGGAAAGTCAAATATATGACAGTCAAATGGTGAATGCATAAAGAAACTGTAGCATATCTCATAGCATGAGAAGGTACTAAGCAAGCTTCAGAGGAAGAAAAACACAATCAGTAGTCCTACCCAGACATAAAGCCTACAAAACAACACAATGACCATCCCAGCAAGATGTCCCTAATGGGCAATTTTTATTATCAACCCAACGCCACCTGGCGCAACTTGGGAAGAAGGAGCCTCAGCTGAAGAATTATATGTATCAAACTGGCTGCTGATTACAAGGGAAGGGTCTACCTCGAAGCCTGCTAATGTCTAACAAGCTACCTGGACCATGTGACCTTAGTGGGAACAGGGCTTTAAAGTGACACAGCTCCTGTGAGTCACCCACAGTCCTCTAAGTAACCAAAATAAGCTCACTGTTCACCAGCTGGACTCAGATAGAGTTGTTTCCATGGTCTATTCATGTCCTATCTGGGCAAATGGATGTTTCTTTACATCTTCTTGGGAAAAGCAATGCAACAAGAAGATAAAACATAGAAGGAGGAGGAGGAAG